GACCCCAATGAAGGTTGCAAAAGTGACCCCTATATATAAAGGTAGTGAACTAAAAAATGTTGGGAATTATCGTCCAATTTCAGTTTTGTCAGTTTTTTACAAAATTCTTGAAAGAATTTTATTTGATCGAATTTTTAATCATCTCTCTGAAAATAATATACTTTACAACAATCAGTGCGGTTTCAAAAAAAAATAACTCTACAAAACACGCAGTACTTCAACTCACAATCAATTCAATTATTACTGACTCCTTAAAAAATCACAACTTATTTTAGGTATTTTTATAAACCTATCTAAAGCTACTATTGATCACGGCATTCTCATAAATAAATTAGAACATTACGGTATCACTGGTAAAGTCTTAATGTTATTAAAAAGTTACTTAATTAATCGAAAACAATTCATGCATATTGATACACACTCAACAACTACTGCTTTAGATATATCCTGTAGAGTCCCCCAGGGTTCCATACTTAGACCACTGTTATTTCTAATTTATATTAATGATCTCTATAAAACTTCTAATTTAATGACAATAATGTATGCTCACGATACTAATCTTTTCTTATCCCGAAATAACATCAATAACTTATTTAATGACATGAATGTAGAACTAAAGAAAATATCTGACTGGTTTAAATCAAATAAGCTTTCACTTTATATTGAAAAAACTAAGTGGATTCTTTTTCATTCAGCTTACAAAAAGCATATACTACCAAGTGAAATGCCGCCGCTTTTCATTGATAAAATTAATATAAAATGGGTAACTTATACTAAATTTTTAGGTATTATTGTGGATGAAAATCTTTCATGGAAAAACCACATAATCTAAATAATAAAATTGAAAAAAGTATTGGGATTCTATATAAAACATGAAGCATTTTAAATAAACATACTTTAATTATCTGCCATATTAACTATGCTAATATTGCCTGGGGTAGTACAACAAAATTAAAGTTAAAGTCTTTGCTTTGTCAACAGAAGCATGTAGCACGTCTTATAAATTTTAAAGATCGTTTTACTCATTCCAGGCCTTTATTATTTAACACGAGTATTCTTAATATTTATGAAGCAAGTATATTTAACGTTCTTTGTTTTATGTTTAAATGCAAAACTAATGCATGTCCTGTTTCTTTTCATAATTTATATTCAATGAAATAAAATATGTATTAAGAAATAATAAACATATCCAACAACCAATTTTTCAATCAAATATAGGAAAATCTTGCATTCAATACCGTGGAGCCTTTTTATGGAACAAAATAGTTTTAAAACATTTTGATTTTTTGTATAATTAGAATTATTTTTCTTTTAAAAGAAAACTAAAAGAAGTAATTTTTTCAATTGATAACATATTTTTATAGTTTTAAATTATTACCTATTTCACAAAATAATGAAGGAATTGTAATCTGAACGACAATATTTTTTAGATTACATATTATATATTGACATTACATATATACTCATGAAAACTGATGTAATTTTTCAAGCTTTTGTTTGCTTTTTTTTTGTTTGTTTGTTTGTTTTTGCAAAATATAAAATATTGAGAAATATTATATATATATATATATATATATATATATATATATATATATATATATATATATATATATATATATATATATATATATATATATATGTATATATATATATATATATATATATATATATATATATATATATATATATATATATATATATATATATTCACATAGATTATAAAAAATTGTTAAAACTTGATTAACATCTAAAGAGTATTATAATATATAAACACATTTAAAAATTGTTTTAAATATTTGTAAATTTATTTATTTATTTTAACTCCTGATATAGATTGTAAAGGGCTTCATGATAAGATAGTGTGATCTTCTGGAAGTCTTACCGTAATATATTCAATGTAAATTTACCTTGTACACCTTATTCTGGAAAAGAAAAAAATAAAAAAAACTATGTAATTGTTTAACGTTTTTTTTATAACTTAACGAGGCTGACTACAATAGGTCAGCGAAATATATTATTAAATCAAAATATCGAATTTAAATATTCAGAAAGAATATATATAGTTATATAATAATCGTAACCATTTATATATAATTACCTTACGTCGTTTTTTTTATTTAGCCAGAACTACATACTTCAAAAACAAACTGTTAGAACTAAAAGTTAACTGCAAAAAAACGTGGGATGCTATTAAAGAGATTCTTAGAAAACAAAAAATACGCAACAAAGTCTTACCAAGCGTGATTGCAGTAGACAGCACACAGATCTCTGATATAAAATCGGTGGCAACAAAATTTAATGAGTTTTTCGTAAATATTGGTCCAAACTTAGCCAGCAAAACTAAACACACACCTGCACATTTCTTGTGCTATCTATCAAAGTCGGATAAAAGCTTAGCATTTAAAAAACTCGCTAGTAAAGAACTTGATGATTCAATAAAAAAATTAATTAAAAATAAAGCAACAGGTTTTGATTCTGTTTCAGCGTGCATAATCAAAGACTGCTATGAACTTATTAAAGATGTTTTATTAGATATTTTTAACAAATCGTTTAAAACAGGTATTTTTCCAGATAAAATTAAAGTTGAAATATATTACACCCATTTTTAATTCAGAATATAAAAGTCTAGTTACAAATTATCGACCTATATCGGTATTACCTGTTTTTTCAAAAATCCTCGGATGTATCATGTATAATAGGATATTTGCATTTTTGTATGATAACAATCTTCTTTACCATAACTAATATGGTTTTCGATCAAATTACTCTATGGAACATGCATTTATGCAACTTGTTGAAGTTATCAGTGGAGCATCTTCTCATAACAAGTTCACTTTAGGTATATTCCTAGACTTGTCAAAAGTATTTGACACCGTTAATCATCAGATTTTATTAGAAAAACTTAAATATTATGGAATAAGCCACGAATACCATAAATGGTTTACCAGTTACTTAACTGATCAAAAGCAGTTTATTTCTCTAAATGATGGCTTTCAGACAAACAAACTTAAAATATCATATGGGGTTCCACAAGGCTTCATCTTAGGTCCGCTGCAGTTTTTGATCTATATCAACGATCTATATAAAGCATCAAATACTATGTCTACTATTATGTTTGCAGACGACACCACTTTATTCTATTCTCACAGTAATATTATCTCTCTATTTCAAGTAGCGAATAATGAACTAGAACAAATATCAAACTGGTTTATCGCTAACAGCCTATCTTTACACTCTGATAAAACTAAGTTTTCCTTATTCCATTCTAAACAAAAGTTTCAATCTATTCCAAAATCTTTACCAATGCTATATATAATTAACATCAAAATTGAGCGCTCATTCACAAATAAATTACTTGGTATTTTATTTGTAAATGAGCTTATTTAGACAAACACTTATCCTGGAGAGATCATATTAAACATATTAGCAATAAAATCTCAAAAAGTATTGGCATCTTATATAAAGCCAGACAAATCTTAGACTAATCTACACTAACTCAACTATATTTTGCATTCATAAATAGTTATTTATCTTATGGCAATATTGTTTGGGGTTGTACAAATAAATCTAAACTCGGCTGTCTCCTTAAACAACAGAATCATGCAGCACGCATTATTCATTTTCAAAATCGCTTCACGAATGCTAAACCTCTTCTAAAATGCATGAGGGCACTTGATATTTATGAATTAAATATTTTCAAAATTATACAATTTATGTTTCAACATTAGTCAAAAAAAACGCCGAAGGTTTTCGAAAATATTTTCCATAAAACATTAAACCGATACAACACGCGATCTACCGGAAGATTTAAAAAACCTTTCCGTACATCAAAACTTACAAGCTTTGCCGTTTCCTATCGTGGCCCAATGCTATGGAACCATTTTACAAGCTTGAGTGGTAAACTTAAAGAAGCCAATACCTCTCAAAAATTTAAAAAGAACATAAGTGAACTTATTGTCAATCAAGATTCTTTACATGATTTTTTCTAACAATACACTTTTATTTCCAATTTTTATTATCAAAGGTTACTTATGATAAGATTTTATCTTCTTCAGGTTCTCCGGTCTGGTAACTATTATAAATAATGAAATGTACTTGTATTTAATATTTTTAAATACTTTATCGGAAATTACCTTTAATTGTAAATGGTTGCTTGACAAAAAATAAATAAATAAAAAAATAAATTAAAAAAAAAAAATTTATTGCATATTTTTTTATTGAAAAATATTTTTCTTCTTAATAAACATAATAACTTGCGCAACTAGTTTTAATCTTAAATGTTAAAAAAAAATAGTTTTTTTGTTTTGTTTTGTTTTGGTTATTAAAAAATCCCATGTAGGAGAAGCTTTATTTTCCAAGAGAAAAAAAAGCTTGTCCTACATCGATTCTTACGTGGGTTCAGTTTGGGATTCATAATAGCCCACATGAAACCTATGTGGGACAAGTATTTCTTTTTCACTGAGAATGCTCCAAGAAGACCTTATGGTCTTGTAATAGAACACCACGGAAAAGCATTTTATAATCCAGCAATCATGTCACCTTAGCGTGAAAGGCATTTTAGCGTGAAAAGCATAATAGAACACCACGGAAAAGCATTTTACAATAAATAAATAAATATTAAATAATAAAATTTAACTTATCAGTTCACGCTGTCTTCCTTACCTTTTATAATATAAAACCAGAGAAGGAATGAAGCCTTAAATCTGTGCAACAGCTTCCCATTAGTCGTTATTTATTTTTTATAGTTTGATTTTGTTGATTACATTGCATAATGCAGAATAGTAATAATAAAAAAAAGATATCGCTTTAGTCTTTTTAATTTTTTATTTTTTCCAATATACAATCAATTATTTATCTATTGCATCTTTACTATAAATAATGACATTACGTGTGACGTCGCACATTGCATCTTAATATAATGACATCACGCGCCCGCACAAATTAAAAAACCCATACAGAAATACTTTGGCATATTAATATATGTAATAAATACAACTGTATAACTATATCACGTACCAACGTAAAATATACTAAATGCAAATATTGCAATAAAATACAATTTTTGAAAAATCTCAATGCTATTTTAGATTGTCTAAAAATTTCTTAACGCCGTTTTTGTTAGATTAAAAAATTTATTTCTTGATTATTTTATTTAATTAAAAATCTATTTCTCAATTCGATGTTTGTTGGGCGAAAAAATATTTTTAAAAAGCCATCTTCGTTTAGTGCCATTTTTTCCAATTTCTTCATTTAGTTCTGTACCTTTATTTAAACTATCTCCGCTAGAATATCTTTTAAACATTCTCTTCCATTTGGAAAGGGAATTTCTTTCAAATTCAATGTCGCTATTATCGGTGTTAACCGTCGATGTTGAGCCATTATAATGCAGTATAGAACAATCTTTTCTTTCGACTACAGAAGATGAGTAAGATCTATTTAATCGAGGATTTAACATTTCTTTATTTAAAGGAGCTGCGTCCTTTTCGCACGATTCGGACAAATCTTCGAAGCTATTAAGATTAAGCATCCGTCTTCTGGTTTGATGATTCCACGTGCTACTTCGTCCCATCTTTTTATTCCAAGTAAAAAATCTAGATTTCGAGTCAGTAAAATTTCTGTGAGATGGTTTTTCAAAGATTTGTTTACTTGGTGAACTATTGCTGTGATTGGAACTTAATTTTGTCTCCAAGTACTTATGAAACTGTTGCAATGCATCTTCTAACTCAATATTCGTATAGTTATCAAATTTTATATGAATTTTTGCTTCATTTGAACTATAGGTTGTGTGTATATTGCAGTTATTAGAAGAAGAGGGTGTCCTTTTATGTTTATTTTCAAACGATTTTTCATTTCCATTATCAGAAATACTTTGATGAGAATTGTGAAAATGATAATTTTTAAGTTTATGGAACGATTCAGTGCAACAGTCCGGATCAACCGATATAACACTCGGATCTTTTTTTTCAGCTTCTTTTAAATAGTTTTCTAAATCTAGTTCATCAAAGTTGTCAAATATCGAGTTTTTCAAAATTTCATTTGTGATTTCATCGTCATCCAGCACTTCTTCAACCAACGTGAATGTTTTACTTTCGTTTTTATCATCTTCAGTTTCTTTAACTTTAGGTAATGATAAGATCTGTTGTTTATGTAAAAGACGCTTGTTCCCTAAATCGATATTTTGATTTTTACCCGAAACTATGTTTTGAGAACGACCGTGGTTAATGTTTAAATTTATGTTATTGTCTTTAATATTTTGTTTTGTTTGTTCATCATTTTTTCTTATTGCGGCTGATTTATTTTGATTGTCATTAACTTTTGTAACTGGCGCATCATCGTTATTCTTTTTCTCAGGAGGATTAACATTATTTAAGTAGGATGGTTTTCTAGGGATTGGTGTTGGTTGAGTTATAGCTTTATTATCTTCATTTTTTGTAGTTGGCCTCTTTGCTGGTATTGGTCGTATATTGGCATTTTCAACGTTAGAGTTTTTGTTAGTTGGGTTTAGTTTTATCGTTTCAGTATTAGTTTCCTGGCTTGGTTCACTATCTGCTAAAGTTTTTTTTTCTGTTGATACGGTGGGTTGTGCTTGTTTTAAAAGTGAAGAGGTTTTATTTGAAAAATTGGATCCATTTTTAAAGTTTGCACATTCCTTGAATTCATTTTTATTAAGCGTATTTGGTAACTTTATAACATTTTGTCTTGGATTTCTCGTAATTGAATTTGTTACTTGGC